CGGCAGAGTCCCTGGGTCAGCGAGCGCTTGTTGGAATCTTGCGCAAGACCGAGGCAGGGTCAGGCGCCCGTACGAGGCAGCGAGGGGCCCTTTCCCCATTGCCCGGGCCGCCAGTCCACCCTGCCTCCTTTGCGCGGTCTACACCGCCTGCGCCGTGCCGACTCGGACGATCGATCGCTGGAGGGGACGGGCTGTCGCTTCGTGTCACTGGGTTTGCGTGTGCGTGGGCTTCGTGTGCGATTTTACCGGAAGCGGGAGGGCCCTGGAGGACAGCGCGGGCACCAGGCAGTGATTTGCAGTGTGGCCGAGCAAAAACCAGCTGAGCGCAGCCTGCTGAGTTTGTGACTCGGTCGGGAGGCCCGGGCGCCGACTTCCGGCCGGGACCCCAGTGGCAGGGGACCTGCCCCCTGTCCCGCCCGCCCGGGGCCCCAAGGTCTGCGGGCCGCCTGTGCGCTTGGCGCGAATCCTGCACAGAGAGCGCACGTTTATTCTGCCTTGTTCGAAGAAGCAGCACCTGGGACAGCTAGAGAATTTGCAGGCCAGAGTGCATCTTGGAAAAGTGGGGTCTTTATTCCAAACTTAGAAAGAAGGTTAGGAAGGCAGCGGCACCGGACGGGGCTGAGAGGCCTAGTAAGCCAGCCCAAGGCGAGCTGGGGTCTGGCCCCTCAGGACCCTAGTTGGATGAGCAGCAAGGCGGCGGAATGAGGACGCACCCTTTATAACTCCACGGCCCGATTTCAAGTCCTGGGTTGGCTTCTGCGGCCCTTGCTATAAAATCCAGAGTCCTCAGTTTGCCGCATGGGACACTACACAGCCCGCCTTCTCCCTCCTTTTAGCCCACTCTCTCCGCACCTCACCAGGCTCCTGGCCACCCCTGCTCTTCTGCTCCTCAAATGCCCCGAGTTTTTGCCTGCGGAGTTTTTGCCTGTGCATCCAAATACTGGGCTTTTGGGGTGCTGTTTTCCTGACTGCTCGTAGAGGGGCTCCTTCCTGTGTTTTAGTTCATTTCAGTCACCATCTCCTCACTGACAGCTCTGCTGGTCACACCGCTTGTAGCTGTTTTCACCTCTCCTCCGCAGGGCAGAAGCACACAGGAAAGATCTTGTGCCGTGTTCCTGACATTGTATGTCATCCTTGGGAGAATGGAAAAAACCGCCAGGAAAATCACTCTCTGGGTCTGGGTCTTGGGGTTCTGATGAGAAAGGCACGACTGATTCAGAGCAGTCCTCAAACATATTTCTGGAATGTATCCGCTGCTGGAAGTGAGTCTGGTTTCTTCATTCCGCCTTCAGCTGTCTCTGGGACCTGTGAGGGAGGGGTGAAGGCCCGTGAACATGGCTACTCTAGAGTCTTCCCTGAGGGGTTTCAGAGCCACCTGACGTCTAGGTTTCTTCCCATCTGTAACAGGACTGTCAGCCCTGAAGTAAGAGTGCGTTGTGTGGACTGTGTCCAGAGCCAGGAGTGGGAGTGGCCATGAGTTTAAGGAAGGGAGAGTTAAGGGAAATTTCAGGAACCCTGGCTCACCTGGGGTGGGCGGATGTCACAGTCATTTGGCACCTACGAGACCGCACCTAAATCATGGGGAAGTCAGGGTGAGCTTAGAAAGGGTGCAGTCCCAGGCCACTTGGCAGAGTGTGGAAGCTAAGGGGAGGGGAAATGAGAGAAAGTCCTGTATTTGCCAACAGTGAGCATGTGGTTCGCTGGCTGAAGCAAGGAGGTCTGAGGTTTGAAGGTGTCTTCCAGAGAACTGTAGTCTGGTCTTGCAGACAGAGCAAGGACCAAAGGAAAGGATGGAGCAAATCCTTGCCCTGTATGTATTCAAACACTAACCCGTTAGCAAATATTTATCAAGGGGTCAGCTGTGCTGGAGTCTAGTGGTGGGAGCATGAAGGGGCTGTCCTGACCCCTGCACATGCAGGGTGTCTTGGAGAGATGAGGACAGACGTGCACAGGGATGGCAACGCGCATGAGTGCTGAGCGGGGCTCCAGGGGAAGCGGCAGGAGAGGCAGGGTGCAGCCCACGCGTTCCTTGCACAGGCGTCTGTGAGGCTGCGCACATGTGTACATTTGGCAGGAAGGCTGTGCAGAGCCTGGGGGTGCGCAAACAACAGGCAGAGGTGGCGCTGGAGGAAGGACAGGCCCGGCCCCAGGGCATGCGAGAGCCTGGCGTCCCAGAAACTGAAGCAGTTCTTGCTTTCAGTCTTGCACGTCTATGTTTGGGAGGTGGGAGGCCTCTGGGTGAGAAGTGAGGAGATCTGAAGTCTGAAGCCAACGAGTGCATAACTTTGGGAGATCTGTTGAGAATTATGACTAACCAAAGCTGGAATTCCTACTTAAAAAACAAAACAAAACATTGGTGCCTTGATCCCTTTGGCAGCCTGACAAAACCTATACACTCCTTTGAAGAGTAATGTTTTTATTTGAATAAAACATGCACGATTAAAAAGGAAATCATTTGTACTGAAATACAGGCACAGAGCCAACTTTGTGATAAATTAAAGTCACACTGAAAGCACTTTTGTAATATAAGTGCTTGTTAATGGCACCAAGTACCATGAGTTAGCAGTGGGTCTGATGAATGCGATTTCCCAATTATGCTCTGGACAAACAGTATTTTGAGGTAACTGCAACAACTGTGATATCCTAGAAAAATGGTGTGGGTTATGTTTTGCTGTCCTCCTTCAGAACTGATAGAAATTAAAAGTTTCAGTTTGAAGTTGGTAGAAGTAAAACTGTAACTTTTGCCATTCAAATGTATGGACCCCTGTCTTCTGCCCAGCAAGAATTGCTAACGGAGGGCCATGTCATTCGAAGGTTTCCACAGGGAGTGAGATGGGCCAACTTGGTGGAAATTCTGCGTGGTGGGTGCACAACTGTGTGGATTTGTTAGAATTCACAGTCTGACACAAAGAAGGGTGAATTTTACTCTGAATGTACCCTTGAAAGCCAGATTTTTAAAACGCAATGTCGAATCAACCAATGTTCACAACTTAAAGACAAAGTCTTTACCCTGTGTTAGAAACTGGAGCCGTGCACTCTGATTCAAGTTTACGCCTGGACCCTGTTGCTAGAACAAAGCCCTAGGATGGCTCTACCCTGAACTCGGTTCCTTTCCTTCCTACCTTAGATCTGGAGGGAACCTTCTGGCCAGCTGTCTCCTTTCCACACTTCCCGATAAAGACACTGACACTCGGTACAAATTGCTCAAGTGACTACATTTAAAAATTTTGAAAAGGTATTAGCCAAATGCATACCTGTGACTGGTCTGGGATGAGTGAAAATGTTGTATGTAGTTTGAAACAAAATCTATGTTTTATTTCACTAAACATGGCTGCCACTGGCTCGTTGCGAACTAAAAGTCTGTCCCCACCCCCAAGTTCCTTATGTTGAAATTCTAATAATTGGCTCAGGGGGACTCATGCCCATGTGAAGAGAGCCTGTGACTCCCAAGCTCGCTGCTGATCTGGGGGTTCTTCAAGAAGGTGTGAGAAGTCGGCTGTCAGCCCCCAGAAGAGGGCCCCCAGTAGAATCTGGCCCTGCAGCAACTTCATCTTGGACTTCACGCTTCCAGAACTGAGAGAAATAAATTGCTATTGTTTGGAGGACCACCTACTTTTATAGCAGTCCGAAGTCATAGTTTGCAGAAAAAAAATTCCGGGACAGGGTTTGCTGGAAATACGGTCTGAATCCCTTTCCCACTGCATTCGCAGCTCATACTAGAGGCCTTATTTTGGGCCAAACACGTGTCTCCAGGGATCCTACAGCAAACTCCCATCATCCCCACAAAGATGATTTCTGGGGGCACCCAATTCACAGCCTTGGGGAATAACTTGTCATCCTGCAGTGAAAAACTCGATTTTGGCACTCTGGATCCAAATACAAACTGCCACTTACTGGCCACCGATAACGGGGCCTCTGCCTCCATTACAGGAAACACACCGCACTGTTCCCTGTGCTTTCCGGCCTCCGTAGTGATGATGCTGGTGGCCACACTCTGCCCTGACAGGCTTTCTGTCTGCACAGCAGGGAAGGCTGCCGGATCTCCGTGCCCTTCAGACACACACCCCAGCAAACGAGATGCTTGGGTAGCTTTCTGGTCTCGAAACCCACTGGTTTGACTACCTGTTGGGGAGCAAGTTACTTTTTTCAGGCTCCGGTTTGTACTTTTTCCTCCACCTCTGCTGCCAGTGGATATACGTGTCTCAGACAGTTGAAGAGCGGGTTTGTAGACTGGGAAAAGGCACCCTAAGAAAGCTGTGGTCCTCTGACAATACATAGCTTGGGCCTGAAGGCTCTGTCGGGAGCTGGCAGAGGAGGAAGGGAGCTGGCTCTGGAGCAGCGGGGGCGTTCGCTCTATGGGCACCAAGTAGGATCCAGGTGGGCATGTGTGGGTGGTACAGAGGATAAGATTAGTCGTGTGGGATCTCTTTAAGGGAAAGGGCAGGTTATAATAGTAAAAGCTAAGTTTTCTCCTTGAAATCTTACTCGCTTTCTTGTCTCCAAGACACAATACCTGACACCCACAGTTTAAAGGAGGAGAGATCAACTTTAGCTCATGTTTCAGTCCATAGCGGGCTGGCTCCAAGGCAGGACGGACAGCATGACAGAGGGACCTGGTGGAGAACTGCTCAAGGCATGGTGGACAGGAAGCAGGGAGGGAAGGAGGGAAGGAGGAGTCCTTACCAGGCCACACCCACAGTGACCCCACTCTTCTGTCCAGACCCAGCTCGTGAGACAGAGCCAGCCAGAACCCCACGATCTTGTCAACTCCCAGAAGCCTATGGCCATCCAGACATCAACCACGAGGAACCATCAAACCAAGTCTGTGCCTGCTGGGTTTGCCTGGGGCCACGAGGTGGGTGGAAGGACAGGGGAGCCCTTTAGAGGGCGCTGTGGTCTCTGACCCTGCAGTCAGGGCTCCCTTGGAAAGCAGCTTAGGGGATCTCTGCGGTTGGTCATAGATGATGCCTCAGTAGCAGAATTTCCTCTCCTGGGCACTGGGGCTCTCACTGCTACTGAGGTCAGTGGCTGGGCAGTGGTATCGCTAAGCATCTGGTCACGGGGAGGCAGGGGCGGAAACAGCCCTGCAGCCCATACACGTGCATTTCCATCCAGCAGAGCAAGGTCAAAGGAGCAGCACTGAGTCTGGGGTGAAGTTCTGGGGTGCAGAAGCCAGCAGAGCTAGAAAGGACCACTAGGTCCGTCTCTTCTAGAAACGAAGAATACGTAGCCCACAGACGAAATCGGTCACCTAACGCCAGGGCTGTTGCTCTCCCAGCCCTCATTTCAGGAGATTCTTACCCTGGTGTCTGCTTTCAGTGCCCAGAACATCATGCAATTGAAGACACAGCTAGGGGTGACCCTGGGTCCCTGTCCCCAGTAAGACAGGTGCCCCTTGTGGGCCAGGAGAGCACTGAGCGGCTAATTAAGGGGACCACAGCTTGGCTGCGAGTCGCAGCTCTCAGGGGCTCCTCCTTATCCCTTCTCAGATCTATGCATTGGCTGTGACTGGCTCCCCTGGCCTTCCGGCTGATTTTGAGTAAGGTATAGGCATCTCTTTTTCTAAACATACCCTAAAATATTAACGCTTCCACTTTCCAGAGCCCAAATCATAAGTGACATTTGAGAAACAAAATGAGAAAAAAAACATGCAAAGGAGTACTGCATTTTGTGAATGTTATATTGTTACTAACGCTGATTCCTTAAAGGTGTATGGACGGATCTGCAGCTGGGTTTTTAGCCCCGCGGCCACCACACTCCCAGTTGGGGTGTCAGGGCAGCAAGAGTGGCACTCCAGGTTCCTTCCAATTCCTGGAAACCAGTATTTACAAAGCTGAAGAAATAAGACACAGTCTTTAGCAAAGAACAGTCTTTAAACTTTCTCATTTGCTTCCTTTGGCGTGGCAGAGTTTATCTGGTCACTCAGCGGGGTACGGCGACTGCATCTAAAATTGAAAATGAAAATATTTGTTGAGGAAACTACCAATAAATCACTTTTTTTCCCTTCTTCTCTGCTGACTGCTCCATAATTTCTGTACACTTAACCACTAAGTACGCAAGAAAAGTAACTGTGGTTGATTAGTCTGAGGTAAAAGGCACCTTTTGAGTAGGTTGAAAACTGAAGAAAGCCCATTCAGCACACCAAAAATGCAGTGAAAAAGTGGGAGTAGAAGGCAGCAAAAGTTCAGTTAGACCTAAAAACACAGTGAGTCAGAGCCAATCAACACTGGAGTAAGTTCTTAGAGAAGACGGACTGTTTCCATTTCTGGCAATCTTCCAGAGGACTAAATACCACTAGGTTTCTAGCCAGATACTAGTCTGGGGTCTCAGGATGCCCCCAAAGATTCTTTGATGATGAACATCACTTTCATGCAAATCGGAAGCCCGATCTTGACAGTTTTCGGGGGACAGGAACAAACACGTGAGTAACATTCACGTGTGGCCGATCAGAATCTCAGGAAGAAGAGAAGCATCATGCTGCTGTTAGTGGTACTCATGGGCCTTGGAGCGGCTCCAAAGGCTGGTAATACAAGGAGCCCTCGAGGAGACTGGGATCTATGGTGTGGAATCCGGCAGAATAGGTGTTAAGGCAGCTTAAGCGTGTTGATTAGGATGCCTGCGCTGTCTGCTGAAGTGAAGAGTGTGGGAACTGCTGGGGCCGTGATGAGGGGCAGGGGGGTGGGTTTCGATGGAAGCGATTTATAGCAGTTCTAGCAAAGCAAGGTGTCTGCTTTCGGAGCCGCGGTGTCAGGGACACCAGCCCCAGGCACGGATTTGTACCCAGCGTTGTTTCCCCGCTCTGACCAGCCTCCCACTCTGCTTCACTGCGGACACCCAGACCAGCAACGGAAGAGGAAGGGAACGTACAGCAGTTTCGATGGTTGTGGGACTCAGGTTTTCTCTCAGCACCGCATACACACTGGGAGACATGGGCAGGAGGTCGGAGGGTGACTGCGGCTCAGCACAATCGTTTCGGCTTGAGGAGACAAGACAACAAACAGGTCAGGGCTGCAAGACGCGGGAACCCTCACCACGGTGACGGAGTGGGTCCAGGACCCTTCCTAGGGCTGCGTGAGTTTGTGACACTGAGCTGCCCACTCCATCATTTCAGATCGCAGCATCTGACACACGGAAGGTAGCTTTTTAACGCCAGTCGGAACAGTCTGCCGTGAGTGTGGCCTGAAGACTAGCTTTGTGAGTTACAAGAAAGGAGACATAAAGTGCTTTATTGGATGTTACAATGCTTTATTCTCAGTTATATGCATGCCGATCTACCCTTAAACCTCTTATAGGAAGGTCTTTTTAATAAAAAAATTCCATAATAAATATTTCACACGTGACCAAGATTACTCACATTGTGGAAATGGGGATAAAAACCGAAGGAACATAACCTTTGTCTCCCCTTTCGGTTGGTCTTGAAACTGGAAAAGAAAGGCACAGCGTTGAGGAGAAACGTTACTGACATTACTGATAAAATTAGAAACCAAAGCATCTTGAGAAATATCTGTCATGCTAAAATGGAAGAGAGATAATGCAGTTGTTCAGTGATTCACACAAAGTTTGAGTTGAATAGAAGCAGTCATCTAGGTCAGCAAGAAATGTGCAAAAAAAAGAACAAGTCTTTGAAGGTCCAATGTGACTTCACGTTACTGGCATTTCTGAAATGTGGGAGCAAAATCGAGGACTATATTACCTGTCTGCTCGTTGCATTTACATGTGACTGCAAGTCCTGATCTATTCATGTACTATAGGATTTATAGCAACCCAGTGCTTTTCAGTAAAACTGACACTAATCATAACTTACTATTATACAACTCTTTGAAGCTCAGAATGAGCACTTCTAGAACACCACTGCACGTCCCGACTATGAATATCTCAGGCAGGGGCTGCTCACGCCCCCTTGGGAACACTCCCACAATTCCCAGGTTCACCAATTCCCGACCGACGTCCGTCCGTCCCCTGACATCTGCATTTCATTTCATTAGAATGTCACTTCAAGGCCAGTGTTTTCATTTTCTTTCAACTGTTTCAGAGTGGGATGAATTTGGGTAGCAGCAAGTCACCATTTGTGAGCATGACAGCTCTAGGGTCTTCCGCAAAAGAGTGCCCAGAGAGTCACTGGGAACCGAGGTTTTTGTGGCCGGCACTACAGCTGTCCCTTGGTATCTATGAGGAGTCGGTTCCAGCAGACCCAGTGGATACCAAAAAGTCCTTTGGATAGAAAGTGTGATTGGGCCAGGGATTTAGCTCAGTGGTTCCACCTGCCTCACAAGTGCAAGGACCCGAGTTTGATCCCCGGTACCAAAAAATTTAAAAAATAAAATAAATAAAACAGTGTGATGTTTGTGTGTAATGTACAGACATCTTCTCATATACTTTAAATAATCTTTTATGTTGTTTATAATACCCAATATAAAGGCTATTTAAGTGGTTGTTATACTGCATTCTTTACAAAATAATGGCCAGAAAAAAGTGTCTTTCCCTGTCCTACAGCTCGGACCTACGGAGTGCCAAGCCACGTCCCCAGCTCGTCTGCTTTCCTTTTCTTTCTTCTCCCTACCCGCTTCCTCCCCTTCTTTCCCCTCCCCTCCTCTCTCTCTCTCTGAACTCAGGGAGGGCTGAGCCATATCCCCAGCCTTTTTCTTTTTTTCAATTTTGAGACAGGATCTCACCAGGTTACACAGGCTGGTCTCAAACTCGCAATCCTCTGCCTCAGTCTCCCGAGTAGCTGGAATTATAGGCGTGTGCCGCTGCACCTGGCTCAGATGCAGTTTTTAAAAAATATTGGGTTTTTTTTTTTGGTGTTTTTGAGACAGGGTCTCACTGTGTAGTTGAGACTGACCTGGAGCTCACTATGTAGCCCAGGCTGGTCTCAAACTCACAGAGATCCTCCTGCCTCAGCCTCCCAAGTGCTGGGATTACAGGCATGTGCCACCCTGCCCAGCTTTTAAAAAAATATTCTTAATCATGGGTTGGTTGAATCTGCAGATGCAGCAAGAAACCGTGATACGGGGGGGTCAACTGTACTTTGCCTAAAGACAGAATCATGAACTCACCTTTTAATTATATAGTTACTTTCACTAATTTTCTTTCATGTAGTTAGTAGATATTTACGGAATGCCTCTTTTGGCCAGATGCTGATCTAGGTCCTCAGAATGCACCAGGAAATGTAGAGAAAGGAGGGTGAAGCACTGAATTATAAGATGACAGCAAGCTGAGAAGCAAGACCTGTAACCCTTGGGACCCCTTTAAAAGCTTTAATCGTTAACCTCCTCCCTCTCTTCCTTCTCCCAGGCTGGAAGTGAAGTCAGCCTTGCTCCTGCCTTAGGGAGCCCTAAGCTCTACAGTGCCCCCTACTGTAGGGCGGTCAGTGCTGTGACCGCCGCTAATTGCCTGATGGCTCCAGCGACCCCTCTTCAGCAACCACTGACCTCTGTGCCCCCTGCCCTGGGGCTTACAAAGTTCAAAGTAAACAGAAAGAGGACCTTCATTTACTTTGCTCTGATACGATGCTATTTTCCAAAATGTGGAAAGAAAAGTAAAGAGAAGCCCTCACCTTCACACGGCTGGGAGGTGTAGTGTTTACTGAAGGCCTTGTCTTTGGGGATGTCAGGGTACAGGTACTTCAGAGGGTTTTCGGGAATGTTTTCAGCCATAATGACCTTGTAGTCTCGAAGGATGTCAGCAAATGGCAGAGCAGACAACCGGCCTTTGTTGTAGGGTTCCACGGAGTGGAATCTCACTTCTCCTGAAAGACAGAGGTTGGAAGCACATCCCGGCTCCTGTGGACGCTCCTTGTGGCCACTGTTTCTGCCCACAGTAAGTTCCTGACTGAAAATCCCATCCGACCTTCCACAGCCTGGACAGTACCAGTGTGCAGGTGCCAGTGGGTGACTGCACATGCTTTCAGAATGTGTGGGGACCCAGGGCTGGGAAACCGCGCCAGGCATCCACAGATCCGCAGCCACACCCCCTGGAAATCCCAGGAACCCGGCGGAGGTTCTAATGCACAGGAATAGAGCAGCGTGCCTACCGTTCTCGGAGCGGTCCACCCAGGTGAAAGTAATCCCTCCCAGGTGGCTCTCACTGAATCTCAATAAAAAAGTCCCGGTTGTTTTATCCTTCAGCAGCAGCCGCTCCTTTTCTTTGCTAACAAAGCCCATGATGTACCTACAAATGGAGCGAGGCACGGCTCAGCGGATGGTTACTGCATTTACATTTATTTCGTTCACAAAGAATAGACCTAAAGATTGTTTTGTGTATAATCAAAAGTCAGCCCTGACATACCCCTCGATGTATGTACTGACACTTTCTGAAGAAAGTAAGAAACTACAAATTTTTTTTTCCTGCCCATGGTACTAAACATTCTTAAGAGGGATGGGAAATCAGCAAAAACAGAAAAGAGGAACCTGACTCATGGAAAAACAGCCCCTCACTCACCCATCAATCCAGAGGGGAAGAATGTGTTTCTTGATTAGGTCCAGTATCGCTTCAAGCCATGTCCAGAAGGTAAATGATTTACCGGGTAAGTGCTCCTATTGGAATAAATGAGCACATCAGGATAACGGTTATTTAAACAGTAACACTGCATAGTAGTAATTCCACCTCCACTTTTCCATAAAAGGTGTTCATTAAATTGGACAATACTTTACTTTCCTTAAAAATATCCTTATCCAGGAAACCCTCAAAACCTCAGCTTAGATAG